AAAGCAAACATTTTCTGTTTTAGGAAGACATTTTTAATAAAATATGAAAACAAATTACAGACATAGGTAAATGGATTAAACAGTTACACTGTGATTACTAAGGCATTGGAATACCAAGTAGATGTAAAATAAATAATCTGCGCTTCTGGATAATGGCTAAGATGAATATATATAAATTATTAAAACCTAAAGCAGCTGTGAAAAAAAGGATAAAATCCTTTGAGTGATCAAAAAAGAAAATATCAAAGCGCTAAAGGTATAGGCTGTATAGAACTCGGTGCAACCAAGTATACAAGTGAGAATATAATAATCAAGTGAAGTGAAGGGTTAAGCGATTTGGCCTAAACCCAATAATGACTAAACGCATCAAAAGAAATCCTGCATGAAATATTGAAAAAAGGGGAACTGAATAACTCAATTGTGTCAAAGAAACTGTGAAAAACCAGACCAACGTTGAAACAACAAAGGAAAATAGCCGATATGTGAAGGTCTATTAACTAGTGATGGTAACAAATATTAATCAAAAGTAATACATTGTTGCATTGAATCATCAATCAATAATATGTGGCAAAAAAACGTGATGATCTATCAAAGTCTGTAACCAATATGTAACAATATGCACTGGAGAAGTCAGATCACCGGAGCACAGTGTTCAGTGGAAGGTAATTTAAAAAGCCATAGGAAACATATGTGAAGTTTTTTTAAAACTGTTCCTGAGCTGCCTTTGCCGGCCGGACTTTTTATACTGCCTGTGTAAGTTACTATTTTTAATAAATTGGTACACTTTTAATTACTACACCATGAGGGCTTTCTCCTTCTTTTATTCCTAAAACATCGTGGTTTTTGAATCTCAGCCAGGGATTCAAACTTTCTGTATGGAGTTGGCATGTTTATTCTGGGTACAATGGCTCCTGTCTATATTGGCCCTAGTATGTGTGTATATGTATGCATGTGAGATAGGGACCTTAGATCGTAATATCCTTGAGTGACTGATGTGAATATACAGGATGTAAAAGCTCTGCATAATATAAATGGCTGTAATAAATAAAAACCTACTTTTACAGAAAGAGGACTGAGACTCAATGGTGGGTGGAAAAAAAGCTGGAAACTATGGTGGATAGCTTAAGTCAGCTGAAGTCCCCAGGAGAAATCAGTGGGTGAGCCAGTCAGGCAGGCTGCTGTTGTAACTGGAAAAAAACACTTTTTGGTCATTTGGTTTGATAAAACTTTGCTTAGTTTTATACCTATAGGAAGTGATTAATACAGCAGCTCTTTAGAAAAGACAGCTACTGAGCCCTCTACTTAAAAGCTACTGTGATCATTACAGGAACGTGAAAGTCACATTTGTCTCACAAGTCACTACACAGTGAGCTCTCATGTTGATGAATAATCCAACAGCTACTCACCCGCCTCCTTGCACAGAGCTGCTAAATCTGCCCCCACGTAGCCATGGGCACTGTCTGCCAGCTGTGCAACTTCATCCACTGCAAGCTGATGTGGTACTTTAAGAAGTATGCGCCTGAGGATGTCTAGACGTCCCTGAGAATTAGGAACTCCAATTTCTATCTCTTTGTCAAACCGCCCCGGCCTGCGTAATGCAGGGTCCAAGGAATGAGGACGATTAGTTGCACCAAGAACCAAAAGCCGTCCTTGGCTTTCTTCCTACAACATAAGCAAAGTAAAATAATCAGTACCTTACTGGCATACAGTTCTAGAAAAAAAAATGTGCCCGCCTATACAAAGCTTTTGCTATTTAAAGCTGTAAAAGCAGACCAAATCTGCCAGATGTGTTTTGGTTTAGTTTTTAATGAAACTACAGCTAGCCTTTAAGCCAAGGGTTATGTGAGGGTCAATTTTTAGGTGTTATAAATGTTTTATCAATAGCATAATAAATGTGTTTTTCTTTCTCACGTGTACGATGTACTAAATTTCATGTTACCAAAACAGTTACACTCACAATTACCACATCAATTTATTTCCTGAAAATGTATTGCCCCTAGAGAGATCCCACCTACGATGCCTGGCAATTCAGCCAAGTTTCTGAAGGAATGCATTAGAACTGGAAGACACACTTGATCACCTGCCCTTTAGTGGCTGCTACTTGGAGATATCTGCCATATTTACTTGAACAAGTGACAACAGAAGTTTGCTGGAAGAGGTAAAGCCCAATTCCAGTCAAAATCCTTTTTTTTCTCTTTTTGGATAGAAAGGGGACAAAAAACATAGACAAAACATGAAGCAGGAGAAAATCTCCCCATTTCCTGTGTATTTGACAGGTCTTAGACAATACAGGAAGTGAGGGGATATATCAGTAAAGTAGTGCTCTCTGTGAGGTTTTGTTTTTTTAAATGACTTGGAGCACTCGCAACTTAGCAAGGAAGAGCTGCAAGTTCAATGAGAAAAGCTCATGCAGAACTTAGACAATCCCGGTGGCTATAAGGAGGCTTTTCAGCCCATACTGGACACAGAAACAGGAGAGTGTGCGGCCTTAGTGCTCCGGTCAGAGCCATTAGGTAGTGGTCCATGTAAAATGATCAGATATCGAAAGTAGAAGATTTGAACGAAGTAGGGTACTCCCTGGAAGAAACACCAGTGACATTTTGGGAGTGGGTTACTATTAAAACTGTTGCAGCTATTTCCATAAATAAGAGATTAATACACCGAATAAACCAGTTAAAATCACCTGCAATTTGAATAAGTAGTATTAAAATGTTAAGAAACTGGTTTGTCCAAGTAAATGGTGCCTGATATCTTTGTCCTTTTTTTAAATCTGATATTAGCCTGTTACCTCTCCATCCTATTACAGGCAGCCCCCGGGTTACATACAAGATAGGGACTGTAGGTTTGTACTTAAGTTGAATTTGTATGTAAGTCGGAACAGGAAAAAATTTTAAGTGTAACTCCAGTCAAAAAAACATTTTTTAGTTTTGGATAGCATAGGGAAGGGTCACATTTGTTTTGCTGTCTGTTCCTGTTGTTCAGAAGATTATAATATAATAAAAAACAATTTTTATTCAAAATGACACACCAAAAAAAGTTTTTTTCTATTTTTAATTTTATTTTATATACTTTATTTATTTAAATTTTTAATTTTTATTTATTTAACTTTTTTTTTCCTTTTTTAAAATTTTTTTTGTCTTTTAATTTTCTTTTTTAAAACTTTTTTTATTTTATTTTAATGCTGGGAGCAATAGCCAGCCTGCTATTGTATATTTCAAATTGCAATAGCCGATAGCAGGCTGGCTATTGCATCTGCCCACTGCCTGCTGTCAATTAGCAGAGGAGGAGCCTGAAGGAGAAAGTTCTCCATCAAGTCCTCCCATGCTGATTGACAGCAGGCAGTGGGCGGGTGCAATAGCCAGCATGCTATTGGCTATTGCATTTTACAATATCCAATAGCAGACTTGGTATGGCTCCCAGCCTGCAGACGAAGAGGAGGCAGGGGGGCGGGGCAAAGGAGCTGCGGCCGGACTGGAGGATCGGCCGGACCGGGAAGAGAAGAAGACGGACCGCAGGACAGCAGTGGAGGTACGGGGGGCAGCTAGGAATGCAGCGGTCTGTGTCCCCGCTGCCTCCGCCAACACAGGTGTGGAGAGCAGTGGGGATTTGAAGGGACACAGGCCGCTGCAGCCATAGTTCTCCTAAATGTACCGGCAGCTGCCGGTACATTTAGGAAAACTTTGAACCCGGGTTCGTAAGTACGGATTGTCCGTAAGTCGGACGTCCGTAACCCGGGGACTGCCTGTACAATGCTAACAAGCAACTGGGAAACTATAAATACCTATTATCATCCCCATAAGGTAGCACGACACAGCACATCTGTTGTCTGATCACCGCACCAGGCTACACACTCAGTACGTTTTATCTTACAGTCTATATGCCTTAACAGCCACATAAGTGGTAACAACAGTCAAGAATTCTTACCAGGAGTAGCCAAACGTGGGCCCTCCAGCTGTAGTGAAACTCAAAGTCACATTAGGCATTGGAAGACTCTGACAGCCACAGGAATGCTCCTAGAGGCAGATGCATGCTGGAAACATAGTTTCACCACAGCTAGAGGGTCAAAGTTTGGCTATCCTTGTCGTAGACCAATAACCTTCCTTTTCCTCTAAATAATGCCTTTTAAAACAGGGCGCAATATTAAAAGTGGAACTGGATCACACTACTTCAAGTACATGTATCTGTCTCAATACAATTCTTACCGAGCCAATCCCATCCATCAGTGTAAGCAATGAAGCCACAACCCTTTTCTCTACTTCATTCTGTGCCCCTTCTCTTTTTGGGCATAGGGCATCCAGCTCATCGATGAATATAATAGAAGGCTGACTATAAGGTTAAAAAAATACAGTAAATGTAGAATTTAATGGTAGAACGATTAAATTACATAGCAATCAGTACTTCAGTACTCTGTTTGCATATAAATGTAAAGAAATTATCCATGTCACATTCCTGTTGAAGCTGCACTTTGTTAAGCTTTGCTTTGAGCTGACCTTAGCTGAACAGCAGGCCTCCTCAGCAGTCTGACAGCACTGCCTCAAGATAGGATAGGCATTCTTAGGGGAGCTGTTCTGGCTGTTATCCATCTTTTTAATATTCTAAGGGTGAATCTTTTATTAACAGTAAATTCTTGAAGCAAATAGATAGAAACCAGCTGTGTGCTATGCTAGTACTTAATAGGACATGTGTTTTGATGTAGCAAACATCTAGTTGCACTCTGGATTTCATGCACTAAGCTTGGAAAACATCACAATACAGCATTGTTTTTTACAGATAATAATAAGCAGAGCAACAGATTAAACTGAACTTGTACTTTAATCGCACTGTGCAAAGCAACAGATTGTCTTGACTGTAGAGACCATAAAGGCTGTGACGCACTGCGCGCGAAGCAGCGCGGAACGGTGGCGCGTTGCCCTCGCGTGCAGTGTGGAATGTAATTTTCTCTCCGGCACATCAGCTTGTGAGAGCTTGTGTAGCTGAGGGTGAGGAGATGAAAACTATCATCTTCAGCCAATCGGCTCGTGCCTATAAACCCACGCATCACGATGCAAACTCCATCCGGTTGTTATGCGCGAGCCTATTGGCTGAAGATGCAGTCATTCACCTGGCTGCACTCAGCTCACACACTGTATGTGAAGCTCCGTGCCTGACAGCTTTCTTCCGCTCTGCACAGCTTCGCAGTGCCATGCAGTGTGTCATGGGCTTAAGTGTTTACTTCTTTTCTACTCATTCCCATGCTGCCCTGATCTTTCACTAAAGCCCAGAGAAATGTCTGGGTTGATTTTGATCTTTCACTAAAGCCCAGAGAAATGCCTGGGTTGATTGTGATCTTTCACTAAAGCCCAGAGAAATGCCTGGGTTGATTGTGATCTTTCACTAAAGCCCAGAGAAATGCCTGGGTTGAATGTTAATAGTGCAGTTGTGCTTTAAAAACAACCTAAGTTACCTTCATAATGCACAAAAAAAAAATCTACCTACCTTGCTAATGGCATATTGCAGTCTGTATGATAAAGATAAACAATTTATTATGACCACTTGTAACAAAAAAAAAATTTCTGGACAAAGTTTTACCGTTGTGATGCCTCAGCAAATATCTGCCGCAGCTTGGCTTCTGACTCTCCATAATACCTAAAATAAAAGAGGAGGCACGCTTAAAAAAAGACACACCTAAGCTTTGGTTGATTTAGCAGCTTAGATTCTCAAGAGTGAAACACCCAAAAGCATTGTTATGAACTACTGGCCTAAATGTTATAAATGTAGTCTTACACTCAGTATATCTTTTAGTATTTAAAAAAAAAAGTTCAATACAGAAAAATCAATTTGCAAATTGACTTTGCAATTTGTTTGCCAACTGTCAAGAATGTGGCAGCCAGGGGGATTCATGACACGATAAATGGAAAGATGTTTGTGTGGGAATGACGTTATCTCATTTTTGTTTTCATCTAAAAAAAAACAGACATGTACAGTATGACTACAGCAAAACAGAAAAGGCCACTTTAGCTACACTATCTCTATAAGGAAATTATACAG